TCTGAACCGTGGGCTTTTCCTAACATGAACTCATCAACGCGCAATGCAACTCCATCCCAAATGAATTTCGCACCGAGCAACGCATAATTAACCGTGCAATTATATTTGTCAATGCAAAGCATTGTTTTTAATCTCCTGCAGTCTTTCCCTAAGAGGGGATTCCTCCCGTGTTTACCTAATTGTTCATGTGAGTCCTGGTCTGGATACCCCTCAGGCCCCCACCCCTTCCTCGCGCACCCCTGCTCAGAGTGCGGGGTCATGCAGGGGTGAAGCTCCTGGTACCTCAGAAGGTTATTCAGGAGTCAAGCCGCGCTGAGGTATTCACAGTCTTGAACCGCGGAGCGGCCAGACGCTCCGTCAACGCCCCGGCCCCGCTGACCACTCAGCGGACCCCCCTTTATCGGCCAGCCCCGCTAATGGGGCGAGCACCCCCGGGCTCCACCGCCGTCCTTGTAACAGCGACCCATAAAGGCGCACAGGAGGATGCTAACCAAGATGAATAGCGTTTTTTTCCCCTCTCGCCTCATTCTACACTAATCAGAGCTTTTCATTTGTTATGGCATCGCGCCAGCCCCTCCACCGCAGCCTCCATTAGGGCCAGATAACGTATAAATTCATTAAAGTCAAAGAGGGGGGCATTAAAATGGTCATTTGTCAGATCTCCCTTTGTGTGTCCCTAATGGTGGCACATGGTTCAAGGCATTGAGATGATTTTGGTTGCTTTCTTTAAACTGCTGTGCATAAGGAGAGGGACGTGGGAAGGAGTAAAGACTCTCACATTTCTCTTGGAAACGTTACAGTTTCATATAGGCTTCTTTATTGTTTTATTTCTTACATTTTTGCCCACTTTTAGGACTTAAGTGCAACTTCTTTGTACACATTTTTTTTTATTTCCGTTTGTGTATTTAAATAAGAGGTGTATTTTTTTTGAATGACCACAGTTAATGTTTTATTTTGCTTATCAATCCATCCATCAACTTCAGATTGCCCCCCTCTCCTTTACACAAATACAAACTCACAGTGAGTGAAGCAACCCTGTTCACTAATCCCTTTGTATTCACAGGCCCATTCCCACCAAACAATGTCCTAAAGACTAATCTTAAACTGAGTTCGGCAAACCCATAGGCCACCTGTTTAGAAGTCACAGTGCGGACAAAAAAGGCCAGGAAAAAAAAGTTAAAAAAAAAAACAAAAAAAACACACACACACATAAAAATCTTTGCAACAAACCATCACATTCAGTCACCATTTTACAAAAAAATAAATGAATTAAAAAATCATCTTAGGGCACAAGTTTTACCATGCATTCACTAAAACACCAACACAAAATATGAAGGCGCTCCAGCCCAGTTTGACCATTCCCCCGTCTTTTTGGCTTTTACTTGCAGGCGTTGTCATGGGAGATGACTCTCTCCATCTGCCTCCTCTTGTCAGTAGCCTGTCTCCATCAAGCTTTATCAGAGGGAGCTCCGCCACCCCCCGCTTTCCTGGACTCTCTGCAGCCACCCCCACCTTCCACCCCTCCCTGTCCCTCTCTCTCATACATAAGCCCAAGATGATAAGTGTTCGGACTCTTTGTGCGGGCCCAGGATAAGACAATGCCACACATCACTACAGAACATCATCCATCTCACAGACCATCAATCTGGCACACAAAAGATGAAATGTGGCTCAAACTCCCTTTTAGCCAAGTGGTTTGTGTTTGCTTAAAAGTAGCTTTGTCTTTCATCTCTTTTTCGCCTTTTCACAGCGAGGTTTGTGTTAAGCCCAAAAATTCCTTTTGGTTTTGAACACGTCGGAAAACTAAGCAATACCAGCCAGTTTGGTCTCAAAACACGAGCACAAATGTCAAAGATACTGAGTCATTCCACAAAAGTAGTCTTTGTCCTTTAGCAAAGGAAATGCTTGATTAAAAATAATAAATGCAAGTTGCATGAAGCCTTTCTCCTCTTTTCAAAAGGCTGTTTGTTACTTGATTGAAAACATCAAGTCTTTGTTTCTCCTCTTCTGCTCATAATTGGCTTTACATTGTTCCAAGACCAGCATGGTGCTTTTGTTTTGCATTGTGCACAGCCCGTTAAAGCTGCGAGACATTAATGTAATTTATGAATGTATAAGCAGCAAAATGGTTTGAAGCAGACAACCGGCCACAGAAACATATCTGAAGGTGGTTTAGATTTACTCCAATGAAAAAAAGGCTCAGACAAACAGGAGTTTCTGCAGTCTTTGATTTAAAACTATTGGACGTTTATTTTTAAATTCAGAAAAAAAGTACACGATAAAAAAAATAAATCAATTTGTAAATGTGAATGGATTCATATTTAGTGTTTGGATTTTTCAAATTGTGTACAGTACTTGTGTCTTGTCCTACCTGTATAAAGTACTTTGCAAAAGCAATTTTTCACATTTTATTTTCAAACCTCTTGAGTTTTTATGAAAATAAATAAATAATTATTTGCTAGAGTTACACAGTGAAAATCTGGACCTAATTCGATTGAGAAAACGACACTTGAATATTGCTGTTCACAGATCCTCAGCATCTAATCTAACTTGAGCTAATTTGCAAAGAATAGATAAAATTCTTAGATGTGTAAAGTAGGTAAAGATCATACCTAAAAGACCTGTGGTTATAATTTCAGCAAAATATGATTATTCAACATGTTGAGTCGACCTTTAGACGGAATTGTTACTAAATGCAAAATCCTCTTCATTTATGTTTTTCAGATGGGGGAAAAAAGGACGCACACTCAAAGCCGATTCTGTAACAACGTGACCAAAAAGCCTTAATCCATTTTCCTCAGATGTTCCATTAACCGTTGAGCCATACTATAAGGTTAACCTGTTAATCTGCTCTCGATAGCTCTGGGTTAGAAGCTTTAAACAATCAATATGATGAACCTCGGCTGGTGCAGACCAAAGGCAACATCCATTAAAACTCTGCTCCAATCATACATTGTGATTACCAGACATCACACAGTAAACACGTGGTCTGTATTATTAGATGGCTTGGATATTGTCAGAACACTAAAGGATTATTCATATTAATCTGTTAACTGCTCACTATATTAATTATATAGGTTTACTAGATCAAAAAACAGATGACTCGGTTTAGGTTTAGACTGCAGGTTGATTGCAGACCCCTGCCAGATGGTTGACCTTCACGTTAGTCGTCACCTTGCCGTAATAAGTTAAGACAGACTAGGGGCTTGTTCTTTTTAAAAGGAGCTGAACCGGACCACCTCAGGTTAATCTCTCTATAGCCTGAAATGCCCATGAGGGATTAGGCCCAGTGTACACCTGCTGCTGATTTTTAACACACCATGTCTCTAATGTCTCTGCTCTGTTAGGATCTTTCAAGCTTTCAAAATCATTGAGTGAAAGAATATATAAGATATGTAAATTAGTAATTTTTTTATTACTACTAAACCATATTTACCCATAACAGAAATCGTATTTGTTTCTCAACATTGTGTTTTTCACCTGATAATATCTTTAGAAACTTGTTCTTTTATTTACGTTTTATGTATTAAAAACACTTCTAACTGATTCAATGTGCTGGAGCATTGCAGAAAGGCCTGTTCAAAATGTTTCAGATTAAAACCCAGATGCTTGGACTCACTGTCGTGACACTAAAGTAGAATTCACACCAGGAGTGAGACGTCAGCAGCAGTTTAGCCCTGTAGAAGAATCTATCCAATTCTTCTGACACGGCCCAGAATGGTGACAACCCTTTAGGTGGTTTAACATCAGTTCACACTCAAGCTGGAAATTTGACCTGACTTTAACATTTATTTGCACTTTGATTTGCACAACTCTGACACTCTTACATGATTGACATGTGAGTGTGGCCCTTATCAGTCATCAGTTTGCAATGCCCGAATGCTCATATTAGTCAGAAGAGTTCATTCATTCTTGACCACACTAATACTCCAGTAAGATTTAAACACTGCCTTCTCAGAAGGAAGACTATAGATTGGAATTAATTTATGCAGAAAATAAAACAACTAAATTTTACAATGTCAGAAGACAAATATACATTTAAAGTGCAATGCTTTTCTAAACTTTTAATTGATTTAAAAGGATGGCCAGCGTATTTATTGCTTTAATCAATTTTATGCCACAACTGACTGTTCATAGTTGTTCTTATCACTAAAATATAGCTGAGCTGGGTCAATATGGTAATGCTACTGTTTGCACTGTCTAAAATCAAACAAACTGCAGTAAAAAAAAAAAAAAAACACCATCTTCATGAAGAGTTGCATAGTTTTCGCCATCTGAATTTACAGGTCACTATTATCAAGCTATTAGTGTTGGTATTGTTCTTTGTTGCAACAGCCCTCTCGGCAGAAAATTTTGCGGTTGGAAAGCCTGATTGTTTTCCCTTCAAACAGTGCCAAATTTATAAGACAAATGCCTTTGTGGTTTGATAGTAGAGTTGAGAATGTATATTCCGCTCCTTGAAAACTAGCCAAGCTTGTTTTTCTATGGCTCTCTTTTATGTTTCTGGTATACCAGCTGTCAAACAAGTACATGATTACATGTGCACTAGAACCTGTACATGCGGTTATATGTTCTGTGCGGATTTAATTTCACTGAATTGATTATAAATGATTTTCGGTCTCACCACACAAATTTAAATAACACATTACAGACATTTAAATGACCTTGGATGCATATTTTTATTTAATATTAATTTATTTTATACATGCAAATAATATGGAATAATTAATTTATTTGTGGGATAATAGACATGTTGGACCTTCTAAAACTACTATCCCAGACGAATGTTTTTCATCTTCTTTAAATTACCCAGAATTTCATTTTTAAGCTGTAAAAGACTGTATGTTTTTTCGAACACGAAGGACATGTACTCAGAGACATCCTTTCACAACCTGCAATTCCTCTTTACTAATACTACAGCGCATCCTGGCGGCTAATATAGGCAGTGCATGGCTGCGCTCACTGATCCCTCAGCGGCTTCCGTAGGACTTTTCGTAAAGACAGACGTGTATTTAACTTGACAGTGATGTGAGTCTGCGCTCGCTCTCACTTGGTTTCCGTTTGAGCGATAAGTCACTAATGAATTCAAAGGGAGATGTCATCCGACTTAAAGTTAAACTTCGGAAATTGTCAACAATACCCAGTGATGGGTAGCGAATCGGGCATGTTCCCTATCGATCAGGGAGGAGAGTGGGGTAAGACATCTGATTCTTTCTAGAAACACCCACACAAGGAAGCGGGGGGTAGGCACTGTTTAGCGATTTAATACAATAAAACATGTAAAGATATATCACCTATGGCGATTTGTTGTTTTAAAATGACCTCTGCGTAAGTTTGAGGTTGACGTCGTAACGTTTGTTGGTGCGATTTCCAACTTTCGGCTAGCCAGTTAGCATTAGCGTGCTATGGATGCTGAGATGACGTAACATTTTATGTAAAAAGCCAGTTCCTTTTTAGAGTGAAATAAACCGATTAACTGTTACAAACACCCCCTAAATCAGCTTAGTTACTGTGATTTTGTCTGCTTTAAGTTTTTTTTTCTGTAAATGTTTTCATATGTTTTCATATACATATGTACATGCAAACATTTCCATGTACAACATACAACAATGGTTACAATTAGCCACTAAAATTTAACATGGTACTCTTAAGTTTTCAAGGCTTATTTTAGATCCAGATCACGAGTTTTGACATTTGATAGTATCTTTGCTTTCACTTTGATGAAATAAACGTGTAGTTAGATTGATACATATAGTCACCAAGTCAAGATTTATGTGTAGTTTGAAAGATAAATGCGTTACTTTAATACGTATTGACATCCAGGTGAGGTGTATCTTTAGATTAATCATTCAGACCTGTCAGGTGCTGATGTAAATCTTGTGAGGCACTGTTGAGATTAAGCTTTTTTATATTTCCTCAATACAGCATTGCACAAATTTAAAATTTGTTATTTTCGTGCTGTATTTTGCGCTTTCATGAGCCGCTTATGCACACAGTATGCTACTTGTACAGGTGCTAGGAACTGAATCAGAGTTTAATCGCAAGGACAAATGAATCTTTTGTACAGATACACTTTAACTATAGTGCCAGACTTGAAGAAGATGCATTCGTGCCACAGATTACCAGTAGCCCTGAGAGTTGTGAAAAGTGAGAACCTTTAGGATCTAGTTGCAAAACATTGTTGCATAACATGCAAACACATTATGCAATAACAGCAATAACATTATTAGAATGTCATGGTATAACCTTCTATTGTTTATTTGTGAAAATTATGTCAAGTGGCACAGTTAACATGGTGCCTTTTACGTATTGACTATCTCATCAACTTCTCATTTATGTATTTTGTTGTTCTGATTGTGTTCTGTCAGGAAGATCCTGTGTTAATCTTTGAATTGTCAAACTAAGGAGGTAAAAGTTTCTTCTGTCTCTATTACGTTGTTTTATCAGTATCTTTGGCTCATAAACATGAATATATAGATCAGGCCGGTGCACATTAAGAGAACTTATTGAACATTAATCTTCTATACAATGGTATGGTCGAACACATGATGGCCTTCATAGAACCTCTGCTGCATTTCATACGTAATCTTTAAACTGATCTAGTCACTTAAAACATCACCATATTTCTTTCAATGCAATTTCTGTCCTATTTTACAGATTGATTTGACATTGTGTAAAAGTTGTGTTACTAGTAATCTGCTTATAGAAGCCATGTCAAAATCATCACTCTTTCTTCCAACATCAATAGATAAAATTCCTGTTATGACTGAACTGATCTGACCAATATGTCTGTGTCCTTATCGCTACATAGATCTTAGCCTGTTTGATGAACTGGATGACCTGGGGGATGCAGATGAGCTGCTTGAGGCCCTCGAAAGCGGTGCCTATGTGAGTATCTACAGAGTTGATCTAGTGATGACGGTGTATCACTTTCAGTCAAGTAAGCGCACGTTTTATGACATGGAATCAACAATGCAGACTTAGAAATGGTCGCAATTTACATTTGATTGAAATATATTTCTTCATGAAGTTAATTTTTTGGGTAAAAAAGATGTTTTGGGTTCTCAGGCAAATGAAGGTCATCTGGATTTTGATATCGATATTCCTCCTTGGAGTGAAGTGGACACAAGCAGCACCTGCACAGGTACAGCCACCGAAGTAATATTTTTTGTTTGTCTTTAGCTTCCATTAATGCAACATTTATTATATTACGTATAATTAGAAATCTTATTTGTGAATTAGATTTTTTTTATGATGGAAAAAAAAAAGATTTAGGGGTATTTGTTTACAATATATTGAATTCCACTTTATTTGGCTTGGTGTTTAACTTTGTTTAGGATGCCAATTTTGTTTTGATTTTATTGTTCTTATGGCATAGCATGGTATGCAATGTAAAATTAGGAAATAATTGGTATGTTTCAATATGTCCATGGTTGCCCAGTATAGTGGCCATTCTTCTATTTCTCTTCTTTGCAATCCTAAAACCTTTTCATTTTGATCCCAATTTTGCTTTGAGAGCTTTAATATAAGCAGATATAGGAACGGCATTCAAAACATTTCTCTAGTGTCTTTGCAGTCTTGGTTATTATTTATATTTACAACTTTTTTGATGGTATTGTGCAATACATTTTCAATAAAGATCCCATTTCCGAGTTGGAAGGATTATGGTTCTATAGATTCCTTGATTCTATAGAATCAAAGTTCTAGTGATGACTTTAATTCTATAGATTTTGAGGGCGAGGATGTAAAAGATTGCAAAAAGTGAAGGTCACTCTGTTACTAAGCAACATTTAAAAAGAAAATGAAGAAAATCGTTGCAATGTGTTTTAATAATATAAGAGTGAAGTTGCATGTTATCATAATTTTGTGCATGAGAGATGTGACGGTTTGAGGAGAGGTTTTGGGACTGTGCTGCATGATTTTCCATGTTAATGACTTGATTGTTTGTGTCCCTGTCTTTGTGCATCCAGATGGTGAGGTGAATGTGGACTCTCTGTCTCCTTCCCACACGCTGAGCTCCGTCCCCTCTCCTGCTTCGGTGGAAGCTTTGTCTCCATCGTCCTTACACGTAAGAATCTGTCCTCAAAGCTTCGCCCTTCCCCAGCTTTCTGCATTTGAATTTGGATTTCCAATGCAAATTGTTTTACAATTGTTTCGGTTGTGAGCATTTCCATACCTAACCATCTCTGTATCCACTTTCCACAAAAATAATTATTTTGTTTTCCTCCAGATGTGGATTGAATATTGATGGGTAGAATAATATTTAAGAAACTTATTAATACAATCTGTAAACACCTTGTCAGATTAATAACGAACTGTCTGTATGAGCTGTGGGCCAACCACTCATTAAAAAAAAGGTGCCAACAACTTCAGACACATTAGCATAATTTAGCGGGCAGATGTTATCACAGTGTGTCAAAACAAGGGCAAGGGTTACAGTTTTTCTTTTTTTTTTTTGCCCAACAGTCGGTACACACTTGTCTGCTAATTATACTGACAATTCAAGGACGCACATGTCAGCTGGGAGTATTTGAAAAGCCACTCATATTTTATTAATGCGCCACAAGTTTGAGATGCATTAGTTAGAACTGACTTTATGCTTTGTATCATGTCCAAAGAGTCAAGCATGTTTAGCAGTAGAAGCAAATTACTATTGTTGGTGCTGCTTTCAGTTTGTTTGTAGAAGTCTGTTCAGGTCTTGTACTTAAAAATAACTGTTGCTAAATTGTTGCAGAGATCTTACATTGTATCTATTTCTCCATGCAGGATGAGCCATTGTCCCCTCAGTCACGGCTTTCCCCAGTTTCAGTTTCGTCCGAGTCCAGTGGTTTTTCTGAAGTCTCTCTGCCACCCAAGAAGGTTGCAAAGAGGAGCACTCAATGGACAAGAGGTAGCGAATGTTTAAGGCTTGCATGCACAAGGTCATTTTAAATGCTTAAGAGGAGAATGGGGAAGCAGATTAAATTAAAACAATAAATACATTAAGAGAATAATAGAAAAATATTGAGCTACATAAACCACTTCATCAAAATAAAAAAAATATCCAAGACATAATGACAAACAGTTTCACTTTTAACTGTAATTTGGTGTAAACAGTAGTTTCAAGCTCTCATTTAAAGGTGAAAATAGTTTCTGCACATTTCTGGTTGTTGGGATTTTGTTCCAGAATTTAATCTCATAGAAAGTAAATGTGGTCTTTGTTTAGAAAAAAATGTCATCACTTCTTAACCCCTTAACTGTTACCCTAAAAACACTTACATGCAAGCCAATGGGTCCATGAGGAAAGCAGTATCCTCATGGTGGTTGAGGGGTTTTAAACCAAAAACTATCATTTGCCTTTTCTACCTTTATACCCGAGAAAACTCTGACGACTTCTTGTTTTTATGTACAGGCTGGTAGACACTGTACTGTCACAGAAATAGCAAGCTGTTTTATTTGAATAATTTAAGAGTTATAATGCTACATAATAAAAAAATGTGACTGGCTATATGGACATGGAACAAAAGTGCCATCTCAAGCAACTCCGCAAGTGATGTTTGCTAAGATTTATAATTATCAGGTGGTACAAAGCACACTTAATAACAAATTTAGTGTTTGCCTGGTGTTGACCAGCTAAGCAGCAGGGAGCTCCAGTAATACCAAAATAGAAGGTTTTAACGTGTAAGGCAGCTTCTAGTGCTAACATTTTTTATTTAGCAATTATTCCACCATTGTCTATGGTTGTTTGTTATTCTCATTAAAGAATAATGAGAATAACAAACAAATGAACTGGGGGCAGTTCATTTTGACAGTTGAACTGCCCCCAGATATTATTTTAACTGTAAATTCAAATTTCCTGGCCTGGGCTAAATCCAGTTCTTTTTTTTTTTCCTTTCGTATCTTGTTCGTCCAAACCCTTGCAATTGAAATGTACCAATGCCACAGCTAAACCTGCTCAGCCTGTAAAGAGGTCAATTCAGATGGGCTCACAGATCTCCATCCAGCCCAGACCATTGATGGCAGCCATGCCTTTGGCTTCAGCAGCAACAGCAGCTTCTTTGCAGCCCAAGACGATAATCATCCAGCCTCTGCAGACCACTGTGCTGCCTGTTGTCAAGCCGGCTCCAATCAGCATCCAACCAGCACCCCCACCAGGTCAGTTCTCACACTGCATAAAAGATTATTTTGTTGTGCTCTGTATTCCAATACCACACCTTACCAAGAGGTCAGGTCTCGTATTCTGTTATATTTTAGAAATATTAATATATTTATTGTTCGCCTTTGCCAATTAATTCTGTTTAATTTAAAAAATAAAAAAAAATGCTGTTTTTGATGAAGCCAGCAGGTGGCACTGTGATCTCAGTTTTTTTCTCATCAGTGAACCTTACTTACTTCATTGGAAAACAGTGAATAAATATGATTTTTAGGTCTTGAACACCCAAAATGTTTAAATATGACATACATTTTATTGGTATACTCAGGCAACATGAACATGGAAGTAAAATCATAAACATTGCTCAATATGTTGAGCAATGTCCTAAATATCCGAATATCCGCTGAAGTTTGTGGTTTTCATTAAAGTCATCAATGATTTTTTTTTAATGTCTTTTGCTGGATTTGATTTGGAATTTTACATAAGAACCATGAAAGCCAGAATAAATACTTATCTCACCTCATGGAGCCCAAGTGGGTGGGATGGATGACCTTTGCTAAAGTGCATTTGAACTTCTGGCGTGTTTGCCTGGTGTTGACCAATATCTTGAAAAGTTTAGGACAAGACATCCTGACCTAGATCGAGTCACAAGATGGGAATCCAAGCTGTTTGTTTGAAAATCTGGTCTGTGTTTTATTTACCTGGGTAGTGCCATTTCATTAAAAAAGTAATGAACTCTTTTGAGTCTGATCCATGGACAGTCTGTCTATTCCCACGCAAACATATGTACTCATTGCTTTCTTTTTATTTCATTCTTGTAAATTATTCTCACAGATGGCGAACGTTTGTTCTGCTGGCAAATTAGAGATTTGTTCACAAATCTAGTAAATGCTTTCACCTGATTAACACTGACGGAATTAAACATTAAGTTTGCTGGGTCTGTTTGGGTAAGAGTTGCTTTCAGAATTTCGTACTCAAAAGTGTTGGGCTCACATTAGTGAGCACCAGATATTATTGTGTTTTTGGTTCTTTTTTTTTTTTTTTTCCCTTTTTGGGCCCATGTTTGTGTGAGTTCAAATACATAACTCACGAGCCTCTCAGTTTGGAATGTGGACGTTTAAAGGCTCGGGTCACCGTGCCAAACATCTTCACCACCTGTACTTTAAACATCTAGCGCCAGGTTGAAAGTAAATGGGTAGAACACCACAGGCTGATGGGATTTTGAGAGACTTGAGCTGTATCAGATGTAGGTTCATGCTTTTAAAGCAGAAACTTGATAAAAACTTTTTTTCATAAAAAAGGACGCTTGCAAGTTTGAACTTTTTCAATTCTTTGAATTTCTAAATTATACAATAAAAGTTTCACAGCAGTGAAAACAAAACCATTAATGTATATTCCCTTTTCATTTGTTTTTTGGCCCCCCTTAACTTGATTATGTTTTTTTTGTTTTGTTTTCTCCTTGCTCAAACTCTCAACAAAGTAAAAGTAAAAAATAAATAGGAGCCTCAGTTTGATATCAGATTATCTGGTGCTTTTATGTCAGGAACTCAAAGTGTTGGACAGCTAAACATATTTAAAATGCATCACTGCCTGTTTTACCGTTCACTTCTTGCAAGACTGTATTTGAGACTACTGACATAATTCTGTTAATCTGATAAATCTTAGTTTTTTCTAGAGCTGAAATGTCTTTCACTCTTTGAAAGACAAGTATATCCCCGGTGCAGAGACTGTATTGGCTGCTTGTGCTTCCTGCTGCATGAGGAGCAGGAGAATCACTGGCCATAAATTATTTGTCAAACAAAGCAAAAAGTTACTTTATAACGCAGACCAACTCAGTCTGTAAGTTTAGTTCACACAGCATTAAGTGGAGTTGCATTAAATAGGAGTAATACTATTGCCCATTATCAGTCATATTAATAGAAAAATAAACCAGACTTTATTTTTAGTAAATGTAGTTTTTATGTGTAGAAAAAGTTAACTGCTTTCAGTTGTTTATTACTCTTCATGTTAGTATAGATGAATGTTGGTTTATTTCTTTGGTACAGAAATATTGAAAAGGTTGTTTTAATAACAGAATAGCATATGCCACGTAGTAACTTTTCCTAAAATTAGTCTTGAACCACCCGTGCTATATAATTTATTCGAAAAATGTCCAATAGAGAGGATAAAAGCAATGTAAAGATGAGGTCTGGTTTTGCTTACTGTAAGTGTAACTCCACTCACAAAGTTCACACTGTGTAATCTGTTCCTGACGATGCTGTACAGCAATGATAGAGCAAAGCTTTGGTGTTTACAAGCTGTGACTGAAGTTTGTGGCATACTTTTAATCCTAACAACAATGTTAAAGATAGACTACTTATTATCAAAGATATCCAAAGTGAAGCTCCCTGTGAAGACAAAGCGTCCTCTGCTTAGTTATGCGGTTTGCATAACTGTAATCTAATTACTGTTCGTGAAACTCCAAGTCATACTCACCTATTCATGTAATCACAGTGTGTTGGTTGTTCTGTAAACATATGATTACAGTAAAGCTTGTAATTTAAAAGACACACATGCTCTGTGTCTTTCATTCAGGGAGTCCTATAGTGCTGTCCCAGGCGAGCCAGCTTCTCCACATCCAGACACCACAGGCCGTCTCTGCTAATGTGGTTGCTGTGCCAACACTCAACCAGGACAAGCATGTTCCAGTAGCTGCTCCCCCGCTGGTTTCTGTCACGCTTCGAGCCCCTTCCTCAGACGACGACGTAAGTCAATTAACGTTGACATGTCAGGAAACGGAACATATACTCCTGTTTTAAGAGCTTTTGGAGACTAATAATTAACACTTTTGTTGTCACTATCATGGTTTTGATTGACTAAAAACAGTCAAAGTCCTGAACTGTTTTGTGGAAGTCAACAAGATTAGTGCTGCTCCAGCTTCATTCCAATATTGAAAAAAAAAGTTATAATATCAGCGTTATTTGAGAATATTGTGCACACAAACATTATGGACTCTCACTTTAGACATTTAAAATATACATATATAAGACGGCAAAATTTTATTTTGTCTTCCTTGTAAATATGTGTTCTCCATTGTTTTTTCAAATGAGATGGAAGACATGGTAGATTGAGTGCAATAAGCATGGTATTGATCAGGCACTCTGAATGTTGAGTAAACATAGAAGAATGCCTTTCAAAGACACATATTCACTTCACCAGAAGGTAACAGGAAGACAATGGATGGATGGATATTTACTTCATTATATTTTTAATCTTCCTTTCAAAAACTGTGGTTTTGTTTTTATTACACAAAGCCACAGTTGGTGCACTGCCCTCTAATTGTTCTACTCTTTATAACATTATATCTAACTCAAATATAGGTTTAGCTATAAACTAATAAATAGTTTATTTATATTTTGTGGAGTTAATATCTTTTAGTGCTATCAAACTTCAGAAAGTACTTATAGATGCTGCTAAAAAAGATTTAGCATTTAGTAACATCAGGTGCATGCAGAGTCCTACTGCTCAACAGAAATGTTATTGGCTAAACAAAAATGGTAAGACATTACGTCTCAGTTTGTGTATTTAAGATGCACACATGGCTCCATTTTAAATCTGTTTTTGTGGATCGGTGCGTCTCTGTCTCGTTTTCTCCCTCTGTCAGATAGTAGCTATGCAAGCAAGTTTAAAGATTGTAGCTCAAAGCCGTTTCCTTAACATTAGTCTGCCAGATAATTATTTCATTGAATATATAATGCCTTCAGATGTTATTTATGTATGGGCATGCAAAGGCATGTGCATGTGCACTTTCCTGCAGCTGCACGAAATTATAGCTCACACAAAAATGCTCACTTACTATGTAATGGATGACATTTTGATTGTCAAGCTCACACTCTGACTGGATGGATCAAGTCCAATCCAAACTCTGTCTTTGGGACCCTTTTTCTTGTATTTGCTTTAATTTCACAAATCGTTAACTTTTAAGTTGTGTTTAATATGTGAAAATAAAGTGCTGATGGAAAGACACTTATATATATATATACATTTTAATGGTGGTGATTGTGTTTTTCCACATGGCTAGACAAAATTTATTACATTTTATGGACCATGGCTGTCAAAGTAGACACTAATGACTTCAGCCCAGGACCATTTTATTATTTTGAGACCCTAATATATATAAATATTGTATATATAATATATATTGGTGCTTCATTTTCTAAAAATGAAGCACCAAAACTGATGTTGAAAATAGGGAATGTAAACCTACAAATTAATTTTGTTTGCCAACTGATTTGTGATTGTAAAACAAAGAAAATACTTTTCTTTGTAACAGTTTGTACCAGAGACCAGTTTTTTTTTTTTTTTTTTTTATATTTGGCTTTCTTAAGGCTTTATAGTTGGTGTTTTGGTATTGGTAATGTCTTGCAGACACACATAATTACCTAGTGATATTTTCAAATTTCCTGTGAACTTTAAACATGTCTTCACTGAAAAATGTAGTAGGCTGCTGGATGACTGCCCTATCAACCCTACCACCGGGCTCACCAAGTTTTCTGGGGGAAACTCTGCAATACGTAATCAATTTGATGGATGTTTTGATAAACATTTTACAAATTAGATTTGGGTCACAACAAGCTACTGTTACTGAATAAGACTGCATTGAAAAAGATTCAATTTGTACAGAAAAAAAAAAAATCTTGGAACATGGTGCAAATTTATTGTTTTGTGTTATATTCCTAAAAAGCAAAACAAAACTAAAACAAATTCAGTTAATATCCAAACTGGCAGGTCAGAGCTCAGGTCAACCTGCCAGGAAAAGCCTGATCGGTGCGTCCCTTATTTAAAACCGTGACAGACACTGCAGGGTGCAGAGCTACGTTCATTTTGCCATCACGCACAGTGAGGAGGTTGCTAAGAGAACTAAAAAAAAAAAAACAATTTCTAAAATTCTCTAGAGAACTATTGCTACTGCAATAAAAGATTAATTTATTTTATGGGTCTTTACATATTTTTACCAGGGGTGTTAATAAGTTCGGAGGGTGCTCTATGTCATTTATGGAGAAAATGACATGGTTATTAGCCTTTTATGGAACAATAATGTTCCACGGATGATTTACCTATTTTTTTCTGCTTTGTTTATTACGTTGCCAATAAGTGTAGCTGAAGTGGAGTGAAAGATTCAGACAATATGTCTCCCGCTCAGATTCACTTAACTCCACTCAGCTGAGATTTTTAGGGATTTTATGATGCTGCGTTTCAGCAGCAGGGACTTTTGCAGATAGGCAGCATGTGAAAAAAAAAATGTTGGTGTGTTCAGTTTGTGATGCGTCTTTGCGGTTGTTTATTTCACATTTTTCTGAACCCTTCAGATTCTTCTTTAAGACTTGTTAGTTGGGTTTTTCTACTTTTTCATCTTAGTTATTTGTTTCTGTTGTGCAGACCTGAAGTTTAATGACAAATGTCACTTTTATTGTGCACTTAGAGCTTTTTTTTCTCTCTTTTTTCCCCACGGCATTGTGTTTTTATTTCTTTTATTCTTTGGCCTGTTTTATGGAAAAAACAAAACAGGAAAAGAAAAAAAGCTGTAAATTAAATAAGATCTATTAAAAGCTGAAATATATATCCAAATTTCTCCTTATTATCGTTGTCTAAAGCTGACTTGTGGGCCTGATGCATGTGAAAGGGAATACCTTCAGTTATGACCTAATGCTTCAGTATTTTTGTTTTATTAGTCTGGGCAATTCATCTTGAGCCTAACAATGCGAGAACTTGTCTGGTTATTGTGGGTATAATTAAGCGTGGAGACACACTTTTCCTGCCAAATCTAGAGAATGATGTGAAGGAATTTCAGACTCTAGTGGCCAAAACAAATACCAAATTGTGACGGTAGGGTCAATAACATCTGCAATAGGGGGTTTCAAAGAGACGGTCTGAGTTCCTTAATTGTGAGGGAGGGAGGAATGCTGGGTACACTTGTTAATTCCCAAAGGAAAGTCGTGGAAGTTCATAAAATAAGATGTTAGATTTAAAAGGTTTGTTGAATGTTTAACAAAACAAATCAAGTCTCATAAAATCTGTCAAAGATTTCAGCTGGTGGCAGTTTAAGCAAATGCAGTGATGTCAGTGAATGTGGAGTCAGAGCCTGAGGAGGCGATTCACGCTGTGCGAGAGTGTATGCACTACTTGCGTCTTCAGCAGCTGTGCTCACACGCTTCAGCTTGGCTGGCTGCTGAGATTGTAAAATAACTCCTAAAGATGACATGCGTGAGCCAGGTGCTGCTGCTGCAAGTTTTGTCTTCAGTGAGCCCATGGATGTCACTGCTCCTGTTTAGTTTAGGGTTTTTTTTTTTTCCATTACTGTTTTTGGCCTGGGTGTGCAAACGGCTGCTAAAGATTACACGCTTCAGGCAGGTGTCATGCAGAACGGAGCCCTTTGCGACAGCTGTAAACAGCTATCAGGGGATTGGGTCAGTGTAATGTAATGGACTGCTACACAACCAAGGATTATAATGTGCGGGTGTTCTACAGCAATGGAGACAAGCTCAGATTGAAACTCGTGGATGCAAGAAATCCTCCCATCATTTGAAATGAAGTTGACTTGAGATTATGTTGAACAATCGTGAACTGCTAAAGAGGCATTATTTGTGTTTTCCAGGGACACAGCGCCATTTTATAGCACAGTAACTATGTTAACTTCAGTTGTTATAGAAATGCTATATGTCAAATATTTAAAAGAAGTTTTACTTTGTAATTTAACGGCTTAAAATTGTACCTTTTGTCTCTTAAAAACTCGTGCTCTCTCTGAAACTCTGCCTTCAGGAAGTCATCACAACAGCGCTCCTCTATTAACGTTTTAGCTTCCTCTTTACACCAAGAAGCAGCTTGTATAAGGAGCTTACCAAATATGCAGTTGCATCAGGTGTATGTTCATTTCTGCTGGCTTGTCTCAAGGAGCTGAGTAGGGATATTGGGGGGCAGAAATGCTCTGTGAGACTGAAACTTGGAAACTGCAGTTCTGAGAAGGAACTAGGGCCACCCAGGCTTTGTGCACAGCTGAATGGTTGCTATAACAGATTAGAGGATTTCTCATCCATGAAAGAATTAAAGCAACATTCCAGGTATGATTCAGATGAGGAAATAATATTATAGCAAGGTGTAAAGCTAAAAAACCCCACAGTTTCCATAATACTGCCCCAATAAGGAAGCTTATTCTTTATATCCAGCTCCATAGTTTGAACATTATTTTTTCACTTTTATCAGCTACATGTTTAAAAACAGATTTGTAGTACAAATAGCTGTCCATATAATGAGAAAACTATATGATTACCAAAAATATATCATGTTGCTTACATAATTTAAATTACAACATAGTAGGTAAACATGGTAAACGTTAAACTAAAGTAATATTCAATGGAAAATAAATGGTGAGAAATGCACATTAACAGCAAAATCTTCAAACTTGTCACTTGTTTTGTAAATTGAAATTTCTTTTGATTTGGTTTCAGGTTTAAAGCTGGAAAGGCATCAAGCTGAGATTATTATTTGTGAGATTTATTGACACTGGGTAAAAAATATTTGATTTCCAGTTCCCAACACAGGCACCGGTCACTACCTGTCAAGTGTGAAATCTTCCGATCCTGGTCACCAGCAGAGTGACCAATCTTGATGCAGCTCATTTCCCTTCTCAGTGACCCTTGAAATCTTGAAAAAAGGAAGCTCCTAAGAACTTAATGCTGGGAACTGACTCCCATTGTTTTACCCTCGACAACTCTTCCTTTTCTGTCTTCACCTGCATTCATCTGTTGAGAAGTTGAATGAACATCAGCCCTCAGAGAGGAAATTGACTTCTGGCATTTCTCACATAAACACACACAGACCTCCTCAGTATACTCTCTAAAGTTGGCCACTGTATCTTAGAACGTTTCCAAGCATATTCCTATTCTTGTTGACTTTTCTCACCGTCACAAAAACCAACCTTGAACCCGCATTGGAACCCTTTTTAACCTCTTCACAATTCCCAGGCTCTTTATTAAAACATGCCTCGTTCTGTCCCAAATTCTACACCTCGTTCTCATTGTCGAGTCAATATAAAACTCCCCTCCGGCTGATGCCCTGGTAACCGCTTGTAGCGTTCCCAGGCTGGGGCTGATGGCACGGCTCCCGGTTCTGGGCTAAGAGACACAGGGGTTTCTCAGGAAACAGAACACAAATACAGAAATACAAATAACATAATCGCCATCGGAGCTGGAAGGCCTGTGTTCAGAGAGGCTGACCCTGAGGAAAGTAATTCCTTTGGAAAAATAAAAACTCCTGCACATAGGTGGCATGGACAGGTACTCCATTCCCTATGAGCTCTTTGTAATTTATGCACTATTTAGGTTTGGATGCAGTGACTAGATTTCACTTCTCTTCTCATTGAGGTGAAGGAGAAAGAGTTGCGAGGTCTGGCGTACGACTGAATAATTCATTAATTCATTGTTATGCATTCTGTATTTTTACGTTCGTTCCGACCAACAGAAGTGAAGCCCGGCCATGTCTCAACTCCATCCAGACATTTAGGACACATACAAATTTAGGATGTTTATGTGTCTTGGATGTAAGCCCAGTCCTTCCCGAGTCACACACTCCATAAACACATCCTTTCTCACATTTGAAACAGTCATCACAAATGACCTCCTGACTTCTGAGAATCTGTAATAAATATATTCATACCAAAGTACAGCTGAGTGTAGTAGGGCTGTCTCTGGGACAGTTAAGGCTGGGATTTGTTTTAAAGGGTTCCATGACACAAACACAACTTGAATTTGAGTGTTTATTATTGTATCTCTGTGATAAATGGAAGTGAAAACAGATGTGATACTGTTGAGTCCATTTTCCTCTTTTGGGTCTGCTTTTCGTCCAGTACGCTCTTTACTAAAAATCTATTTTTTGTCTTACCTTGTGCTTTGTACATGTCTTGTAATATTCTATTTTTCTTTTCTTTTTCTGATCTTTTATTTACCACCCTTTTCAAGAGAGGGTACTCGAGCATACATTGTAGCTCCTATTTGAAATAAAAAAAAGTTATAAACACTGATGCTAAACTGATGTACTTACCTTAGTATAATGTTTTTTGGCATGTCAAAATGAACAGATTTTTATTTAGACAAAATCTGTCTAAATTTTGTCGTGTAGACAGATTTTTGTCTAAATGACACAATGTTGTCCATGATTGTGCAGGGCCAGGTTTGCTTCGAGGTCATGGAAGACGTGGAAGAACATGCTCTGATAAAACTGTTTCCTTCCAAGGCTCTAATGTACATTGTTGCATCACATGACATACATTGAGGATTCTGGCTGTACCATGTCAACATGTAAAAAAATTCACCAGGAGTGAAATAGTCGTGGGTGTCACTGCACGTCTTCGATTAAAATGGGCAAAACATAAACACAACCTTTAAACTTGTGTTCCTGTCTTTGTTGCGCTCTCCCATCAGTCCAGGCTGTCCCAGAAGCAGCAACGCATGATAAAGAACAGGGAGTCGGCATCGCTCTCTCGCAAGAAGAAGAAGGAGTATCTGCTCTCACTGGAAGCTCGTCTGAAAGTTGCGCTGTCTGAAAACGAGGCGCTCAAGAGTGAGAACGGCAACTTGAAGAAGCAGCTGGAAGGCCTGCTGAGTCAGGTGAGAAATATTTTGAATGGGGCCTCAGAAGACAATGAGTCGGGACAAAATGGTGTACTAACATAAAAGTAATGTTTTTGCAGAACTCAGTTCTTAAAGCAACCGCACCCAAGAGGAGAGCGGTGTGCCTCATGGCGGTTCTGGTGTTCCTGGTGCTAAATGTGGGACCAACAAGGTGAGAGTCGCTCTGTTGCCATTTACGCTCTACGGTGATTTAATTTGGTGGCTGAAGTTTTGTTTGAAACTAAAGGAGAGCTGAAGATGACAAATTTTGTTGCTGAACAGTTCCAAAAACCACCGCTAATTGTAACCTTGTAAATGTTTTTAATTAACGGAGAAAGCCAAACGGGAAGCCCCATGACTAATTGTAAGATTCTTCCTCATGTTGGAGGTTTAACAGAACAAGCCAGCTGAAAATGGTATAAAACAATGAAGTATTTTATTGCTTTTTGTCTGCACAGGAAACCAAATGTTTATGGTTTGGTCATAAATAAACATGTTAAGTTAGCACTGACGTTGACTTTATCTCAATAATTCTTCATTGTTGCAGTGACTGGCATTTAGTTCGGTTGAAGGTGCAAGTCTGGTCTCATTCTTGTTTCATGTGCTATAATTGGGAAGGAAATTATTGGTAACATGCCCGCGCCCTATTCCTTTGTTGTTCAGACAGTTTAAACAAAATCTTGTCTAATGTGTAATGATGGTTCAAAACTGGTTTGTTTTTACAAAAGTCAAAGGAAGACAGAGCCCAAACATCTAAAACAAGTTTTATGTTGCAATTTTTCTTATTTTGTTTGTAATAACACTTGACAAATTATAATTTGAACTAAAAGCCTAACAGGGATTTAAAAAAAAAAAAAAAGCTTTGTTACTGCCAGTAGATGGAGAAATTGTGTAATTCCACAAACTAAAACTCAGCCTCCATCTCCAACAAAAACATCAGATTCTGTTTTCATTTTACAAAAATGTTTTCTTTTGGGAATAGCTTTTTCCACAAAGATGTAAGCATGACTTGTTTGGAGAGATGATATGCTCTGCCTACTTTCTGAGCTGGGAAAATGCTCTTTTGGTTGTATTCTAGTTCTCAGTAAAGAATAAGTTTTCCTTTTCTCATCTTAGCTGAACTTTTTATACATTTGATATATTTTATTTGGATTTTGTCCCATAGACCAACACTGTGTGGAGCACATAAAATTAAGACAAGGTTTTAATTTTTTTTTTTTTTTACAAATAAAGTGTTTACAAATAAAATTTTTGTATTTGTTTATTTTATTCTGATCAATTAAATCTCAGAGCAAGCGGCTGTCTTCATCGACCACCTAATTTGTGTGCCTTTTTTACAAGACCGCAAAAAAGAAATTATTTTATTATTTTAAAGGAAGCCATAAAAAGTCACATTTTACAGTCAACAGGACATGACAAATGTGGAAAAAAGTGACCCCTTTTTACCCTCTTTACTTGTGTAGAGTATGCTGCCTGTGGCAGAGAAAACGTATCCTCCCCATCACAGTGAACAAACCAAAACAACTCTAAGAGCTGGCAGCATCATTGCCAAAGGTTTTCTATTAATACTGCCCTGAATTTAACTTCCTTCACATTCCCACTGAGCCAAGTGTTGACTCCATGAAGCTAAAATATACTGCCCAGCACACTTTTTCATTTATTTTAATGAAATGTTTTATGTTTATGAATCCTTTTCATTCCACTTCCAATTATGATTTAAACTGTGTTGGTCTATGACATCAGCTCGCGATGTAAAACATTGCCTTTTTTACTGTCACTCTGTGTCTGAGAGTTTAATGGTGTGACTGTAGGCCCTAACTTGTACTTCCAAACTGATTTTTCTGCAGTTCTCTTCAAAATAATTTATTTTAAAATGAACCCCCGTTGTCATTTTTTCTTCTCTCTATCAAAGATTCTTATTTATCCTTTACTATGATAAGCAAGGGGCAGTTTAAGATTTAAAAAATGTATCCAAGTTTTTCCACATCTTCCTGACTGTCTGTGTCGTGGTCAGTTTGTTTCAGAGGGGCTCCTTTTCCAACCTCGACGTTGCTCCCATGCATCACAGTGGCAGACACCTCCTGGATTTCTCCGAATCCGACGTGGTGGCAGGTCCGGAGCTCACCAGCACGCCCTCAGAGACCCCAGACAGGTGGGTATGGAACTGAACCAGCACAGCTCACGTGTTTGTGCTTACCCAGTGTGTCAGTAGGCCAGGATGCACCTGTGCTTGGGTTCTGCCTCACCCTGTTCAGCTCATTTTTTCCACCTGTAAACACACTGATTAACAACTTGTGTCAGCCTTTCTATTGGCTACAGACCTACGGCAGAACAGCTGGTGCTTGTACTTTGAGTAACAAGGTGGAAAAGTGGACTCACGCCGTGTTTGACGTTTAGCTCTGTATTGTTGATAACAGTCTGTTTTCACAGCAGCCCGTATATTTGTCTTTCGACTTTAAATGACCTGTAGGCTGAGCAGTCACATTTTGGAAATTGCATCAATAACATTCCTTTATTGGCAAACTACCAGAACCTGTGTGCGTTTTGCAAGGTGGTCGTCTAATGTCTGAACAGCATTACCAGCCAACGATGCATGCGAGCTCCCTTGTCACATGTTAATTTAAACTATTCACCAGTGAGTTTTTCTTCAGCATTTAACTGGCTCAGGAAGGAAGACATTAGCCTTTACTAAAGGGATGATGGCACCAAACACAGCGGGGCAACGAATGACACGGTGGGGGCTGCAACATTAATTAAGGTCCTACTGAACTAAAAGGTGTGTGTGTGTGTGCGTGCATGTGTGTGTGTGTGTGTGGTGGGAGGTTAACTTGAGACCCTGAACTAAAAACAATATATGTAATCAGGTCTTAATGATCTGACATATAATCTGCTGAAGCAGTTTCCAAAGCATTTAGAGGCAAAAAAAAAAAAATCTCACATTAGGAAAGCCCAGGAGAAAGATTAAGTTCGTTGCATGTTTTCCAACCTTCCATTTAGGTTGTTTCTGACTGTGGACAGTCACCAACAGCATTTCAACTGTCTGAATCATTTAAACGGTTAAATGATTCAGTCCCAGAGAGGAATCGCAACTGTGATGAAAGCTAGAGTAGAATAACAAATGGAAAATGATGTAAAAGTTTGTGCTGCTAATCACCAGTAAACCCTGCGTCTCTTGGACCATCGTCTTCATCCGTCATCGACATCCTAGGTGCGGCCTGTTGGGTGGCTGTACTAACTGTTTTCTAGCTGTCTCTGGTGCTCATTCATTCAACAATCTCTATATATATATATATTTCAATGTTGTTGCAGATCGGAGGATAAGGCACTGATGGTCGTGAAAAGTCCCGACTTTCTCAGACCTCCTCCCCCCTGCCAGCCTTCTGTCAACAGGACCAAGTGCATTGAGTAAGTATTGAAATATTGTTTGACCTTAAGGTTTTCCACTTTTTTTTTTTTCCCATAAAGTCACAATCAATCAATTCTCACTGATCTAACTTGACAGGTTGGCTCATGAATTGAGGGGCTGGGTCCACCGTCATGAAGTACAGCAGACCAAAACCAGACGCATGAGTAACACCAACCATAAACCCATCAGAGACATCCTGGTAATCCACAATAGAAATGCAGACTTTGCTGGCTGCTATGAGAAAGCCACTTGATACATAATGTTCAAAATTTGTATTGCAAATGCCACCTCCTTTGTAAACCAGGTTGTGATCTGCACTGTTAGGTATTTCTGCAATTTAGATTCTTCCTTTCATCTTCCCCTTTTTCCGCCTCTCATTTTCGGCCAGGATTTAATCCGGCAGCCCTGAGAAAGTAAACATAACACTTCAAGGGGAGCTTTGGGATTAGAGCCCCCCTGCTCTCTTTTCCAACATTTTTCCTCAGAGAGGCGGTAATGAAGTGACTCTGAGATTTACTTGATCACTACAGTCGATTGGTTGTGTTAAGGACATCCTGTCCCAAATTTTAAACTATCTATGTTAAGGCTAGTCTGTGTTTGTGTGGTGGACAGCATTGCTGAAGTTTCTTTCTTCTCTTCTGAAATGTTTCTTGATGTGTCTAGATAAATATTGGAACTAATTCTGTTCATTTTCTCAGCAGAAAACGGACAAAAAGGAAGATGAAATTGTCCAAATTGTCACTGTCCCGTATGGAGAAAACACAGAGAAAAAGTGAGTCTTTTTTCAGAGATGTTTGTTGTTGTGCTTTAAGCTTCTTTTTCTTTTTTTATGATGCAGCTTTAGATGTTAGATTGACATTTTACATCCAGGCAACTCAGAAGTTACCTGTTATTGTCAACTTTTACTGTTTGTTACAATGGACGCTGAGGTTTTAAGGCAAGCAGATCTTATAAATATATCAATATTTGCTAAACAGTGCAAATCGTCACTATCAGGCTCATTCCCTTATGAGTAGAGTGCATGGTTTATCTGCTGAGCAAATACTAGTTTATTTACCCTATTTTTTATTTAGTGATTTAATCAATTATTGGTGCTAATATTGTCTCTATAACCTGTTAACAGAAATTCAGGGAGTGAGCTGCAGGTGTACTACGCACGTCAGCACATCTACAGTGACTTCTTCGATGAGCTCAATCGCCGCCCAGACACTTTCTACGTGGTGTCTTTTCGAAGGGTGAGTTAAATCCTCATCATATGGAAGTAAACTGGCTCACAAGCAGAATTAAATCCACAATTTTTATCTCAACTCGTGCCCATCTCCAGCAGCCTTTGGGCGAGAGGCGGAGTTCTCACCAGTCCATCTCAGATTAATCCTTATCTTCTTTTGTCAATATCATCTCTTAATAGTGATGTGTATTTTGTGATTATGGAAACTCTCTCCTGGTATGGCCAACAAATACAAAGTTTCTAACAGAGCTTTTATGAAGAGATAAAGTTCATTATGGTTTTGCAAAATGAGATGGGGTGTTCTTCCATTCTGGCTTTATTGAGCAAATTTCAGGATTATGTTCTTTTGAAAAGTAAAAGTAAGTAATTGAGAGGAAAACACATGTATTATTGGATATATGTAGTATTTCACCCCTAATTTGGCACATTCACATTGGAGTGAAAAGCAGCCGTGGACCACTAAAGTCTCTTTAAAATGGTAAAACCAATTTGCATCAGATTTCGTCAATATTGATGATCTACAATATGAAACAAAACATAGTTGTTTTTTTTTGTTTTTGTTTTTTTGGTTTAACGTGTAAAACTAGAAGATTCTAATAAATATTGAAAATCTGCTATTATTATATGATCATATTGACATTTTTCAGTCCAAACCCAAATGTAAGTTAAGTTTCTTTACTTTGTCAATTTGTTTGTGTCTCTATTTCAGTGATATGGACATTGCAATATTGAACAATATCTCTAGAAGGTATTCCTTGTGCAGCACAAATTTCTGGGTTTTATTCTAAGAATTAAACGGTGATATCTGGAAAAAGGGTAACATTTAAAAAAATAAATAATACATTTAAAAAAATGTAAATAAAACACTGTGCGTTCTGAAGCCCTTCCAGAAACACTGGAAACTGTGGTCCAGATCAATATGAGAGTTTGATTCTTACAGTGTTTCATTAACTCTTCTTACTCGGTTTATTTGCCTGTATTTCGTTTCCTGAGTCCCAGTGTGTGTATGTGTGTGTGTCCATATAAATATGTGGGCCCTTGTTTTTTTCTGGACTCTGTGATGTTATTACAGAACTGCCAAAGCTCTGGATTAAATTTGAAAGTTGTTTAGATTAGTCCATCCACGACCATGCACACACGTGTTCCTCAAGGTGAAAACATCATGTCGCTCATTATCGCTCGTTCAAGGCCTCTCCAACAGTTGAGGTCCCACAGTTCATCACGTTGTACGAGGGTTGAGTAAACAAATAGTCAATTGCGGGTCAAGTTTGTTGTAGCACCTGCATCTCTGATTCGATGGAAAGTAAAACTCTGAAGAAGGAAGGAAAATATGACACTCGTCCTCTGTCAGTTTCCACATCTGCAGAACGTTTTGCATTGTGTTACCGTCAACGCCTTTATGTAAGTGCTCTAGGATGAGATCGTAGTTTCTGCTAACTATTATTGTATGTTCTGTCAACAAGGTTCAAGGAAACTCCAACTGCAGTCTTAGGAGCAACAGCTCGCACGTAATTTGAGCAAGTTCGCCGTCTTGCCATTGCACTGATGAGGAGCAGTGATGTGACTGATGTTTTCCGGCTTGCTCCCGCCCTCCAGTTTCAGACGCTGTGTCACACTTTTGAGTTCATCTGCTTGTCTTGGCTGAAGCCCATCCTTTGTCTTGCACTGCTGCATGCATATGAGACTCTGAATCCATCTTTCTGGAAAAGATCAACGTGAAAAACGATTTTGCTCAAATTAATGTGCTTTGATTAAGCCGGCATTTCTAAACTCTGTTCGATCACCTGTCATCACATTTACTTCCTTTCTCAGTTTCTTTTTTTTTTTTTGTAAGTTTCATAAGACCAAAATTTATAAGCAGTGTGCGACGAACTTGAGCTGTTGACAGATCAGTTGCTTCTCAGTTTCTAAAATGTGCAAGTGTGGCTAGAAACTGCAGTGAAATCCAGCTAATAGAATAATTTCTTGGCAATGAGCGTCTAAAAGCAGGGTTGCTGAAATGTTATAGGCTATAAAATAAGCAGTGTTTTGCTATGGCAGAGACAGACACATTGGTATTGGGACCAGACATTGTGGAGGTCTAATTCACACAGACTCAAATATAAACTCTCTTGGCAAGTTGCAGAAGAACCTCATGCTTCCTTTAAGCTGTTGATAAGCTTGTGGCTTCATTTGTTTACCAGACTCACTGATTTAAAGTCCGAGGGTTTTCAGCTGTTAAAGAGGTTTAATGTTGGGCTTTTTACTTTGGGTTTAGATGCGTTTTTTGGGATATTTCTCTTGACAGCTCTCTGTGTCTGTTATTCCATCCACTTTGCGCAAGTAATGTCCTCTACACAAGTAATGTCCTCTTCAGAAATCACTTGTGTAGGTGGGTGAATTTCTCTTTTCTCTGTCCAATCTGATACGGAACTTACTTCTCTACACACAGTGACAATAATGGTTTCTGGATTGTTCTTCAATATCACAGTCAATTTTCTTTACAAGGTTGAATTTCTGTGTCAGATACTTAACACCTGGACAGAGTCAGGCGTCCTAAAAAGAAATATCCTTGCAAACGCACATCAAATGGATTTTTGAATGAATAAAGCAGAATGTTAAGGGCTTTGCTCCAACCTTTTTGTGAATTCATGGACTTTAAAGATCACACTTGAACTTGGAAGTTGACCAATTTAAATGAGTTCTACCATAATTAGCAGTACTTTTAGGAGCTCCTCTTTAAAAGCTTCATGTCCCTGCAAGCAGTCAGGTACGCTTAGCTGGCTCAGTGGAGCAGGTTTCTTCCTGTGACCGATTCCAAAGCTGCATGCTTCTGATGCTTTGAAATGCATATGATAACTTTGCAATAGAACCACAGCATTGATTTAGCCAAAGCCAGGGAAACGTTAAGATTCAGATTGTAACAACCTCAACTGTTGACAAACTCATGCAGCTGATATTTATTTACCTCCATGTGAATTGCTTTTTCTGCTCGATGACGTTCTTCTCATTGTTTTCAGGATCATCTTTTACTTCCTGCCACTAACCACAACAAAGGAAGTCGACCCAAGATGTCTGTTGTGTTGCCAGCCATGAACATTAATGGTAAGTGCTGCAGCACACGCACTATACTCAGAGCTTTGTTGCTCAGGACACGTTCAAGCATACAAAGGGAAGCTGGAAGCAGATTCAGAAAGTAGAGTGTCTCACTGGTGGTCTGCAACATATGTGATGAAGTAAGCTCTGTACCTAAAAGGGGAAAGTTATTTTTTAAATCAATTTGTCTTTACAGTTATGCGTTCTCTCCTTATGCACTGCTTTGTTTTTTATTAAAATAGAATATGATTCTTTCTGTTTAGTTCTTTCTATGGTTCTTTGTATTTAGGATACAGTTATTGTGTTGTAAAGTTGTGCTAATTCCAAATTAGAACATTTATTTTTTACAAGTTTAGGAACTCATTCCTGCAATCAGAAAACTCTCACCCCTTTGAAGACGTTTAGTGACCTATTTGAACTATTATTAGAAGCTGAAAGCTTTTTGGAAACAAAAAAAGTGACTCTTCATTTTGAATATACAGATTAGCGAAGCTGCTATCCTGAGGAATGTAATCGGTTGTAACACAGATTGTCTTAGTGGGAGGTGATGAGAGTTTGCTTGGTTGCATTTGGGGAGGTAGGCTCTGGGGTATTTTTACCAGCCCATTTGAGAAGCTCTCATCCATTTATTTGACTGCCTGCTATACATGAGTTACCCCTGAGCATTTGATGTGCAAAAGCCTTTGACTTTCTCTTGCTTTTGTTGCCGAATTGTTGTTTTATGAATAATTACAGTGGCCATTTGGTTCTTATTTCTATGACCTCATGTAAGTTTTTCACCAAGGCCCTCAGATCTGCTGGGCTGTTAGCACTGTTTTCCAGAGTTAGGTCATGATGGATGGAAAGAGAAAATCATGAACAAATGTTTAAATTTTACAAAATCTGTAAACTCCAGTATACTGGACGTTGATAAAACGTCTCTATTGGTTCGACACCTTAATGGTCATTTTTATCACATCGATAAAGTCATCAGGTTCTTCTGTTGTCTTCACCATTTGTGGCAACACACCAGCAGCAGTTTTGTTTAGAGATTACGAGTCGTGCCTGAGTTGGTTAGTCATTAGGAAAAACACAGCCATCGAGAATATTTGGCAAAGATTGATGAAAGTAAACATTTGTTCTTGGTTTGTTTTGTTGCAGTGGAAAGTGCTGGTAGGATGAACCATTGAAATGGCAGTTGGAGGCAAATCCAGCAGGTCTTTTTCAGCTAGCAGCCAAACAAAAGTGGCATTCATAGCGAAATACCAGACCTCAAAGTCCTTGCTTCCCCATAAAGGAGGGTTTCAATTTGCACGAATTGTCGTCGATGTTGTCGAGTATCTAACCTAATAAGCAAACAAAACAGCATTATATATTTTTATTATCGATCTGACCTGAAGTCTGACTCAACATCAAAAAGTGCAATAAAAAACAAGCCAGCACAGGATAGCAAAATAAAGCCTGATTGGGATTTTGTGCTGCACACATGCCGTCTCCCTTTGTTTATAACCCTCATGTGTTTCCCAGATGACAGCTTCTTGTTGCACTTGTGATTTATCCTGATTTTATTTGCGACTTTAAAGTAAGAAAGTGCAATTCCACATACTTATAGGGCCAACATCCTTGGAAAAAAGAAAGGCACCGCTCTGTTAAAGAACTCCTCACTGTAAGATAATGCTTTCCAGCTCCCTGATGGTGTGCTACTTTTAGGAATGCCATACTCCTAAAGTCACTTAATGGTTCTCATCTGGAGGGAGGTGGATGGACTGTTTTAATTTCAAGTGATTGTCTGGTCTGTCTTGGTCAAAAACTGAATGCTGCAGATAGAGGCTTTGATCTAAGGGCTTGTGTGTTCTGCTTCACTGCCCGATTCGGTTCAGTAGTTCTGTTAAAAGTACAGCTTTGATCTGGCTCACCTTATAAGGACTGAACGGTGTGTTTATTTGACAATCGGAGTCTGAAAGTAGCTCAATCAAGTGGAAGCGACATGTTTGGACGGAGAAGAATGTTTTTTGGATGACGACATGTTCAGGTGGGGTGGTGCACTTCAGATTGCTTTATAGGATTCTGACTGTACGTTGTGACAGACACAATAGAATTGAAATATATTTTATTGTCCCATAGTTTGGAAATTCAGGTGTCCTATTCACACAAAGACAAAAAATCTAAATAAATTTGCAAATTAAGGAAATGATAGTGCAGTTATTAAAAATGGCACATCTGGATTTAAACTAATAAGTAAATAATTGCTCAAATGTCATTTGAAACTTAGAGAAACTGGTCTTTATAACCAGCAATGCTGGTTATAAAGACCAACAGCTCATTGCAGGAAGGATCTGCCATAATGCTCCTTTGTGCACCCAGGATGCAGCACTCTGCCACTGCAGGATCTCTACAGCAACAGCATCATGCATGGGAGGGGAAAGACATCGTACATCAGTGATTTTTCTCAAAACTTAGCGCACGATTCGGGGCCAGTGAGTTTTGTGAAACGAGAGAAAACTTTTTTCTGTAAAGATTCACTCAGTTATTTTGTTTCTTCAGACGTACAATATATATTTTAAGGTTAATTAAAATCTGTCAATATATTTTGCTGTATGTTAAGTATATGAAAAAATCCCCTCTTTCTCATTTGGCTGGTCCTTCATTTCATGGTGCACACCAGTTGTGGTTTTGATAAACATTAGAACTTGTTATCCAGTGGTTGAGTTGATGCCGCTTTCTTTCATCATGCACCATACTTTTTTTTTCTTTTCGTTTTTTGTGCACGCTAGTAAAATGATAATGAGGATTATCTGCACTCGGATACAATTATATTTGCAGACAGCATGCTTCCTTATGTAAAGGAGGGAAAAAAAGCTTCCTTCATGAATGGATCCTCTGAGTTTGTTCCAATTTGGCATTTGACATCCTGCTGAGGGACTCACTCAAGTTTCCTCATGCATTAATGCATTGTTGTAGGACATTAGAGCCTTATCGGCATTCAGCAGCTGGAACGTTTCCAGATGGCTCAAGTGAAATAGGGGGTATAAGGCCACAAGCAGTTGGTTGGTGAATCTGGCAGCCTCTTCAAAGCATTACTGTTTGAGGTGAATCTCGTGGCTGTACGCTGATGTGTTTCATCTTTCTTCTCACAGGCTTCTTAAGAAGTTAAAGATCAATTTCTTTGATGATCTGTTAAAGGATGGATAGAAAAAATGAGTTGGACAAATAATCTGAATCCAGAATTTTACTGCATTATGTGTGTGGTGCATTTAATTACATTACACAGTCACAAAGCTTGAAGTTTACAAAGTCTAATACCATTAGCTGTATTTTCCAAATGTTATACTAAGTTCCATTGTAGTAAATAAAGAAGATCCACCTGCAAGCAATTGGACACATGATCAGGAAATGCTACAGCTGTAAAACTGTTTAGTGTTCCTAAATTTAGAAGGGGCATTTTTCACTTCTTAATCACCTCTGTGTGTGTGTGTGTGTGCGTGTGGGTGTGCAAAAAAACAAACAAGTTTGACAATTTTAAAATGAGAGAATATATACGGGTCACTTTTTATATTGGAATAATGGTTGAAAAGTAACTTTTTTGTATTCTATTTACTTCTGTTAATTCAGATAGTCATGGCTTTTAGCTAATAAAAATCTAAAATTTCAGTTTCTTGGAAAGTTGAAATGTCACATGAGACCAAACCAACTAAATTAAAAGACCAGTGACGATGTATGGATGGATCTACATTCTTACCCTCATTTGTGGTCATGATCACTGCTAGAGCTCTGCACACACGCACCACACACTGCGCATAAGGCACCCAGTGTCAGAACAATCAGGCTCAGTCAGCTTAATGACAACGTACTTAACTAAAATATAAGAGGCATGTTAGTAGGTATATTAGGTATGAGAAATGCATAACAATTTGCTCTAGAAGAAGATGCGAAGGCAGCCACAGACAGATATTAAGCACACAAGCTGTGAAGTACGTGGACAAACGTTTCAGAAGTTTGACATCTTAATAGGTAAAATCTTTTTTTTTTTTATGTACTTCAGTACAATAACAAAAACGAAATCGAAGAAATATTTTGTCATTTAATTTGGCTGTAGGCCATGAGCATCGGAATAAAATAATAAAGACAAATAAGTGCTTGAATTGGATCAGTATATAAACTCATATAAATATGAGTTTATATTTTTCACGTTTTGAAATAAATAAACTGATATGAATTAATATCTGCATGATATTCTGAGATATTGGGACTCGCCGGCATCTGTTGGGATTTCCATAGTCCACTCCATATAGAGCTGCTTTTGTCTGGTGGATGTAGCGTTTCAAAAAGGGTGAAATGCAGAAACAAACTATTTTCTTTGATGTCTCTCCAAACACTGAGGCCATCCGAAGCGTCCAAATTTGACTGCAGGTGCACAAGATCAAGTTTTGCCAGCAGATAAAGTCATACTGAGATAGATCAAAACTCGCCTGCCCAAGACTTATTTGCCCATGAAATCCTGCAGCTGCAGCAGAAACAGCCATATGGTCTAGTTTGATGAAATCTGCCGGCCTTATTGCATCACAGAAAATCCAGCTTTGGGAGAAGGAGAAGCTCAAGTCTTGAGCAGGTGTCTGAAAAGCAGCCTGCAGCTTTCAAACCATTCCTTTCACCCAGACATTTTAAAGACACCACAGCTCCATTTCTGGGTCATATAAATGCACTAAAACTGAGAACAGTGTACTCCAGATGAGGAGCGTTTTCTCCTCCAGCTGATGATCAGAGCTTCAAGCTGTTGATGCAAAGGCCACATCAAACCAATGTGGCATTTTCCAATGGGTCTTCAAGCATATTGATGCTTCCTGTTTCTTCCTCAGAATTTCACAAGAGTTCTCACTTGAAAGGCTCTGTTGCTCGATGTCAAGTAAGGTTTGAAAGTGGAGGCGCCACAAACCGCCAGTGTTGAGTCGCGGATCTGATTCCAAGTCTGAATTTATCAAAGGAAACGTAAATCATTGCCTATATGTAGGTTGAAATGACTGTGAGAACATAAAGTATTTATGTAGGATAACAATCCAGTACGCAGTCTGTGGCTGGAAGCTTTATTCAAACACAATAGTCTCACTCATGAACATAAATTACTTTCAGTGTTTGAGTCTCTGCCCAGGTTTCCTCTGCTTCGCTGAACACAGCAACAGGGATCCTGAGTCATCGCTGGCGTTCGCTTCCTGCGCTCCCTTTTCTTGTTCTGTCTTTTACAATTTGCATGCCCCGCTGTTGTTTTGTGAGGTTTTGTTTATCACAGCGATGGCGAAATCCGGTGTCTGACTCACCTCTGGGCTCCATCTGTAGCTCAGCTTGTTGCTTCCTTCTCCCGCTGTCTCATTCAGCAATCCTTACAACATCACTTACCGTCACCTCTGGGAAAGCTTTGGAATATGCTTTTAGATCACATTAGACGCTAATTGCAGTCTTGCGTAAAAAAAGTTAGAAACACACCAACCTTTATTGAACATTTTTCACTAAGTTTCCATCCAAGCAGGCTAATGCTATCGCTTTGTGCTGCTCTAATTAGTCTTCTATAACATTCCACAAGGTTGGAACAACAAGAGATGGAAAACTTTGACCCATCTTCTTGCTCTGTTCTTTGTAGCACATCCTGCAGCTTTTCTACAGGAGATGGGTGAAGATGGGTGTTGATTTGGACAGGATTCCTTTTGAATAATTCATGTAATGGATTTCAACACGTTAAAAACTTTCACTGCTTTCTTTTTTTTTTTTTGTAACATACAAAGGACCTGGCTAGAACATTTGCATCTGTGTGTTTCTGTTGTGCTGCTTCTCATGTCCCAACGGGGGTTAATATTGGCCTCAAAACAACGATCTGATGGGAGGCCAAAAAAGGCTGTTGTTGTATTAAAAGGAGTCAGCCTGTGACCAAAACTATTCAAGCCTAAAATACCATCTCGGTGCAAAACATGTTGAAGGTAGCACAGACATCCCCAGTGCTGACATCCACAGGTCATGTGTTTTTAAACTGCATAAATGGTCAGGAGTTCCTGAGACACTTTACAAGTGAATGGGAATAATTGCACTTCATACCAATCTGATGGTTTAATGACCTAAATAATGAATTAAGAGGAATTATTATTTTTGTTGAGCTCATATTTCTGTTTATTCAATAGTTTTATAGCAAAAAGATTTACCAATAAATTTAACCCAAATAAAGTTTGCATTTTCTTTTTGTTTTTTTTTTGTCTTGATCGGATAATCCTGTTGCAATAATCTCACACGATCGTACCCTGTATTTATTTTAACACTTTTTAATTGCCTCTAAGGAGAGTCCCAATAAGTGTTCAAATATGATCTCATTTATTTGTTCATTTGTTCATGAGCTCACAGGCATCCTGCTCTTTTCTCGCTGATACAGAGAGCATCATTAAAGACAAAGAGTTTGAGGTGATGATGCAGATCGACTGTGAAGTCACCGACACCAGGATCCTCCACATCAGGTCCTCCAGCATCCCACCGCTGCTGCGGGTCAACCAGACGGATACATTCTACCAACACTCGCCGCCAGACGGCAAGGCTGCGCCTCCGGTCGGAGTGCTGATGGGCTCGTCGTAACGTCACCCTGACCTCCAGTCGTCTTCGCGACTCCTCAGCGATCGGGACAACCCAAGACAACGCCTCACTTTATGATTATTTTCAATAGCGAAGGATAAACTCTGCGAGCTCCCACAGATTTTGTATTTGTGACTTTAAATGAAGGGAAGGCATTTTTCAGGATTGCACCACGTCAGAATAGATCAAAAGCTCAGAGCAGAGGCTGCCTCCTTGGGTGGCAACGCCGACTCCCCCCTCCGGCCCCACACATCCATATCAGGGTAATTGTTAGTCTGCAGGGAGCCGAGCATTGAACTCTGAGTCACCCCATCATCGTCACACAAGTATTTCTATTCCTAAAAGCTCTTTAAAATTTTTCTCTTTTGTTTTTGACACAGTGATGTTTGGAGACATAAAAAAAAAAAAAAAAACTATTTGATGTTGGTGTTTAGAGGCACAACAGGTTCAGTTTTTATCTAACAGAATGTGCTGTTAAATTTTAATATTTTTTATTTGTAAAATATTAAGATATCGCTGTTGCATTCACAACAGAAAAACATTCAGTAAACTCAGGAATTTGAATTATTATTTTATTTTTTTTATATTTTGCATTAATCTACCTGGCTTTAATTTGAATATTTCAAGTGCTCTATTTGCAGCCATGAGTAATTGTATTTTTTTTTGTTTTGTTTTGGGGTTTTTTTTTGTTTTGTCTTTGCACCGTCTCATGGTCATGAACAGATACCAGTACTGTACATATTTATGTCTAAATATTATGTAACAGTACACATTCTTGGTTCCATGTTTCTTGCTTAGTTTTGTTTTTTGTGTCAAAATTATTATTTTGTGTCATTCTTTTTTTTTTGTTCCTCTCCTATGTGTTTTGTTTTTTCCCAAACTGATTTGTCCTAAATGATTTATCTTATTTAAGATTAACGGAGATCTAGAGAAACAAGACATCATTTTATTTTTTGTCAGTTTATTTAAAACCTAATTGAAAAAGGAGAAAAGAAATATATTTAAAGACTTCTTCAGTCTTCATTTTGTTTTTATTTTTACTTATACTAAAATTAAACCTGCTGGATTTTTTGTTTTTGTTTTGTATAGTTGTATCCACATACATAGATGCACTGTACATACAGAATAACATTCAGTTTTGGCTTTAAATACCTTCAAACCTTTCTGGGCAGGTGGTTCTTCTCCTAATGAAACCTTCTGTTGCTTTGATATGAAGTGATGAGAATGTAAATTGTCCTTTGTTTTCTGTTATCCAGGACCAGGTTTTGTATGGTGATATAAAATAAGTATATACCTGTCCAAAAGCGTGTTTCTATTAACAATTGATGGTTTAACATAAACTATCTTAAACTGTAATAAGATACAGTTTAAGAGACTGCATCTTATTTTTAAGATAGTCATTTTTGATTCACCATTCAAAAAATGTGCAATTATACATGTCTGAGGTTTTGTCTTTGTATGTGTTTCAAATAAAATAAACACTGGATTTTCTTTAAATATGCTTATGTGCATATCTTGGCTTGTTTTCAAAAATCCCTTTACTTTAAAATGTTAAGTAAACATCCCTGTTCACATCTCCCAGAATAACTGTTTACATGCAGAGAGTATGCCGTACCTACATTACTTGCTTAAGCGTTTATTTCTGCATTCTTTAACTATTTCCTCCCATTATGCCTTTATTCTGTGCTCCAGGTAAGTAACATTTCGAAGCTGCAATTACAGTTTCCTTTCCATTCTCTGACTGCAGCAGAACAAAGGCTAATTCTTCTTTGGCAATTATGGGGGATTTATTACAGAGAGAGGATGTGTTTTCTGACTTCTGGCATACATTTTTGGTGCAAAGAGAAAAACAAATTGCTATGTAGAAAACAAGCATTTTTTTTTCTGATTCAAAGAGAACTCTTCTTGTTAAGCCATGTTTTTCTAGATTGCTGTAAACAGTATCTTACAAAATTATATTTCTTGAGTTTCTAGCCTATTGCCATGTAGCAACCATGGGATTTATTTTTCTTTTATTTGGCATATCACTGATTAAACTTTTGCTTTAATAACATGACCCTACATAAATTTTGAAGTTTAATCAGTTTTTATAACAAATTTATGTCAGATCATAATTTCTTGGCTAATGTCAAGTTGTCATAACAAAGATATTTAGAATAATGTCCATTTTGTATAAAAGTGTCATGATTTACCAAATGACACTTTATGACAACAGTCAAAGATATTCATGAAGACTTGGTCATGTTCATGACAGGTGTTATGTCCTATTTATTAAAGTCTAATTCACAACCCGTCAAATAAAGTGTTACCCTTTTACACTTAATTTAAAAACACTGAGGGGTAAACACTAACACATCATGCTGAATGTATTGCCCCTACAAAAAGGCACATTGGTGGCAGCAGGGGTAGAGATTTTTTTTCCCTTCAGCAGTCTAAGATGCTTTCCATCTAATCTTAGGTGCAAATGTGTAAAGCCATATGTCAAAAGATTTTCAGCTGTTACGGCACCTGAGGTGGTTCTGCAAAAAAATGACTCATGGAAGTTGAATACACCATTCAGACCTCTATTAGTAAAATCTAAAAAGTGACATCCATGTTTTATGTTCCTTCTATTTCATAACCGTGCGCTTCTTGGAGGGTTTCCACCGTGGAAAACGTTCAAGAGGCATCGACCTTTTCACAAAAGGCATAATGCAATGAATCGTGATACAATGATTGAAGGCGAACTTATTTTATTTTTATAAAATGTAAACTTTAATATGAACAATGTAAACACTAGGTATATATGTACATTTGGCTCAGTTCTGAAGCCAGTGTGAACTGATCTACAGTCCATTCAGAAATGAAGAGTCAAAGGACTGTTAAGGATCTACATAAGCAAACTTAATGTTGTATGTGACCTGGTGCCTATTGTCCCACGCATACAAAACACCTTCCTTCGGGTTATAGTCGATCTGTGTGGTGTACGTGTAGTTGTTGATGAAGGGCATTCTAGGAGTCATCTGAGTGTTTGTGTGCGTATCGAAGGCATACTCCAGGTTGGCGTCCCTTTTGTTGTAGCTGTCCACAGCATACAAGACGCCACACACAACAAAGCAATTCCCAAACTTGTTCCTCCTTAGCCCGGTCCTCCAGGTGGTCTCACTCTGCATGCTGAGGTCTGTGGGGTTCAGCCGGCTCAGGATGACCACTTCCTGTAAGAAGCCCTCGTCATCCAGCGCGGGGTAGATGATCCACAGGCCGCTCTCGTCCACGGCAAAGTCGATGTAGGAGTGGCTGCGCCATTCCCATGGTGATGAAGACTCCTCAAACACGGCATCGTGCAGCATAGTCCACGCAGCCACATAGCGAAGTCGCAGGTCGTACTTGATGATGTCCCGGGAGAAGGCGCGGTTGTAGTAGAAGGCCCCGCCATAGACCACATGGCCTGTGCCAATCCAGTTGTAGGGGAGCTTGTAAGAGGTGGTGAAACGGCCTGGGATAATTGTTTTATTGAAAAAGACAACCCACTCATGTTAGATTATCAAGGTTTCATGGTACGAAATAATAAAACCAAGGTAAGTAATTTCAGAACTTTATCCTGCTTTAATATTGCCTATAACCTTTACAAGTCGATGCTTAAGACAGAAAATCATTTCAATCAGATGTAGATTATGAGGGTTTTGCTCCAGCACTGACTGCTATTTGAAAGTGTTGGTAATTATCTCCACCAGTTCCAGCTGAAGAAAACCAGTCATAAAACATGATGCTGCCACCACCATGCTTCCCTTGTGTTTGCCCGATGTTTGTTACGTCCACTGACTTCTAGGGGTCCTCACGAAAGAGGAGGACCTTTGCTCTTTTGTTTGTTTGCAGGCCACTGTCACATCTGGAAGCACTTCCTCCTCATCAGTGGACTCCATTAAAGCTTCAGTGTTGTTTCCCCCTGGGCATTTCTGTGACGTGGTGGACTCTGTCTGAACTGAGTACTCAGTGTTGTGTCAATTTTGCTTTGGTCTTATTGACATTTGAACTTTTGTGTGCTAGAAATATTGTTTAGATGGTTAGTTTGGTTGTAGTTTTCCACCATTTTGCATTATAGAAGAAGTACACTATTCTGTATTGTTTTGGCCTTGGAAAGTCTGAAGTTTTCACTTCCTTTGTGTTTGTAAAGCTTAGGGCCAGCGGAAAATAAATAATTGAGGTTTGGACTTCTTTTAGTTGTTGGCGTCACGTTTTACTTGCAATTTGTGTTACACTCTGTGCCCGACTAGACTCACTAAAAAGGGTAGCAACAGCGTTGTTTTGGTAATGTGCAGTGCCGATATTGCACCAAACAAGACTTTGGGAACTAAAACCAAATAAGTTAAACTTGGACTTATTATGTCTCATTTTCCGATTTTTGTTAAATTTAACTGGGTTAATATGTTTTTCGTCAAGAGAAAAGGATTCTGTATCAACACGTCATTGACCACAGTGTGAAGAATAGGGGAGCTTGTTTCACTACACTGTCAGTTCTTGCTAAAAAATAGCATTGATCATTTAATGTTGCTCTGGACCTGTTGTCAAAATGTCTTGGAAGGACGTCCAGTTCTTCGACAACTGCCTTCAAGTGTTTGAAAAAACTGGAAATAACCTTTTCAAGTCTCTGTGGGGAACATTTGACTCACACTCCTTTAGGTAATTGTCTTATTTCAGTGACATTGGATTGTTTTGGAGATTCACTGGCCAGTTTAAGGTCACACCGCCGTAAGTCAGTGCTGTTTGACAAGGTCACTTCAAAGTCCTATTCATTTTTAGAGGGCTTGCTGGTGTGCTTCGGGTGTTTGGCCTGCAGCATGATCCAAATACACTTGAGCTTGAATGTCCAGATTTTCACAGGAAAATCTGGACATTCAAGCTTCAGCATTTTCTGGTCATCAAAATCTGAATGACATCAACCGCGATAGTTTGTCTTGGTTCTACAGCAGCACAAGACCATCACACTACCGCCACTGTTTTTAAATGCATGAGGTTATTTTTTTTATATCAGCTTTAATAGAATACACATCTACAAAAAAGTTCAAAATGTACTTTCACAAAAGTCAAGATGATTTTTGACAAATGCGAGACAGGCTTTTGTCTTCTTCTTGGTGTAAATGGTTTTTATACCTCTAATCTCTCCTCTTGAAGTCATTTTTCTCCTGCTCTTCTTAGTTCTAAATTGTGACAATTAAATAAGCCAAGTTGTGCCTACAGTGGTTTGGACGTTGTTCTGGATTTTATGCGAGCCCCCTTTATGAGTCTTTAATTAGTTCTTGGAGTAATTTTGGAAGGCCAGTTATTCCTGTGAAGGTGCACAACTGTTTTGTGTTTTTGTGGATAATAGCTCTCACAGGTGGAGTCCCAAAGAATTTGTTCCTCATCTGTTCTATTGTTAGATTAGGGCACAATGTATAATTTTTTTTCCAGGTTAACCGGAGACACAATTGGGAGGTGGAACGTTATTTAGTGTGAGTTTTAAAGTGGGGATTATTTCTGAGCCCTGTTGCCAATTATAAACGGATGTGCACAATAATACAATCATGTTATTTGATTAATTTCTTACTCTTCCTACTCAGCCCTTTTATTTTGTGTTTCAATCAAGTTGTAAATGGCTATTGGTCAAATCAAACGTAGTAAAGGCTATAAGTAGACTGATTGTGGTCTCATTTTCTACACCACAGAAACAGCATTTTAACTGGGATGTACTCACTTTATAGCCACTGAGTGACACCATTGAAGGAAAGCAAGAGACTACCGTTATTGCGAACCGGTGACTCTTACCTTGTTTGAAAACCTCCAGATTGTGGAACTCCAGCAGATTATTCCCATAATGGAAGTTTGTCACATAGATTTTGTCATTATTGGACTTGGGATCCTTCATCCAAGCTCCCTCGGGTCTGCCGTAGTTGTTGTGAGTAACTGGCTCACCGATACTTGCCAAAGTGTCTTTACACTCTCCTGTGAGCGCCCAGAGAGAGGGTAAATGGCCAGTTAATACCCAACCTAGACCATGCCAAGGAGTCTGAAAATAATTAGAGGCTTTTGGTTTTAACAACATGAATTAAACAAAGGTTCCCGTAAGCAAATAGAGCTTAGCTGAGTTTTGGAATTTATTGAAAGAAATTTCCACTTGTTTTTCTCCAAATGAGAAACATTACGATGAGTTAGTGCGTCGACCGTGGATAAATATAAATTCACAGCACATTTTGTTTTGCTGGCTAACTCCTCGTAAACACTGGTGTATTTACTGTTCAGGCACACTGATCAAAGTACAAGATCATTATCATTTACCAGTTTTGCTTGAAGATGACTCCTTCTGGCTTTCCATAGGTTCCTGTGCCTCCAGGTCATCTGCCATCAAGCCTTCTTCTTTCCAATTAAATTTGTATTTCCTTTTGATCGGGGTAGCCTGTTCTGGAGTAGTGGTGACTTTGGAGAAGGTGGGCACAACTGTGATGGTGGATGGAGCATTGTCAGCAGGTGTATAGGACTCTGAGG